CCCCTCTTTTATTCAATCTAGTCGGGGAAGCTCTCAATGCTCTAATCATCGTGCCATGTCTATGGATCAATGGTGTTCTGGTTGGTAACAATGGGCTTCGCATCTCTACCTTCAATTTGCCAACGATCTAGTCATCTTTGCGGAAGCAGAGGATGTATAAGTTCACAATATCAAGAGAATCCAGAGAATCTTGGAACTAGCTTCAGGCTTAAAATTAAACATAAAAAAAAAACTCTGTATGGGGTAAATGTAAAGCTTACAAGAGTACACCTGTCCGGTCGAAAATGATTATTACAAATATAATTAACAACATGATTAATATTTTATTGAAATTTCACGTACCATTCATATATGTATGTATCAATAATTTGTTAAAATATCTTTATAAAAAATGGATGTTATAGTCTATTACTTTGACTGTTGAATAAAAGAAATATATCCTAATACGTGTAAAAACCTTAGCGCCGCTTTCCTTTTAATATGACACATTTTAATCCAAACAAAAATACAAAATAAATTAAACTTTTAAGTACGAATTTAAAAAAAAAAAATTAAAGCTAAGACATCACACTAAAATAAATCCTTAAGTTCAAAAATCATGTTATTATTAAAAATAAATAAATGAATGAATGAACATATGTTTCATGGAGTTGATGAATTTATTATAAAGATTTAATGCTTAACATGCCTTGAATAATACGAAAATGAATCATTACAAATATAATTAACAAAATAATTTATTAAATAAAATTTTAAGTATTATTGATGTATGTGTGTAGGGATGAACGAAATTCGACTCGATTTAAAAAATTAAAATTTTCATTTAACTTGACTTAAAAAACCTTGATTTGAGTTAATTCGACTCGCAATTTTATAAATTTGACTCGAATTTTTTTTAAATTCAGGTTGAGTTATACAAAATTGAGAAACTCTACTCAAACTTGAAAATCATTACACTAATTACTAAACAATTTGAGTCACTTGAGTTGTTATTCGAGTTCTATTTTATAACTCAACTCAAGACCTCTAAAAATAACAATCATATTTTTTTTATTAAAAAATAACTTGTAAATAATAAAATCATTCTAACTCAAATATGAAATGTTTTATCAGTATTCTTAACAATCCAACGAAAGAAAAAAATATTGAAGTTTATCGTTACAATTCAACAAATAAATCATCTATGAATATTTAATTCAAACATTAAATTTATAATTATAATTAAAAAAAATAAAAAATATTAAAAAACTAAATAGAAGGACATATTCCACCTGCTATTCAAATTTTAAAATAATTTTTATGTTGTTGTGCTCAAAATTTTCTTATTCAAATCTACCTTAGAACACTAAAGCAGAAAATGGAGTAAAGACAACAATTGGGTTGATGCGAGTATTCACTAAAATGAGTTCCATGTGAAATAAACCCGATTCAATCTTAGTTTAAATAATATTATGAATTAATTTTTTTAATCAAAACATTAATTTATTATCTGATGGAACTTCATAATCTTATTCAAAATTAGTGACCCGAATTAAATAATACAATGGCTAAGATAAATGTTTGAAAGGGATGATCAATCACTCATTTTCTTTTCTTTTTCTTATTATGAATTAAATATGGGAATCTTCCGGGGATTTTGTTTTTGTTAAAGATATTTGAACAAACTATTGACACACATATATATTAATGGTACGTGTAATTTACCCTACATGTAACTTACTTTATACTAATATTAATTGATCTAAACGAAAAATAATGATTAATAAAATTATTTGTGCAAGTATTGTAATAAACATGTAATGGTTATTCAATTTTACATGTAAGTAATAAATTGGTATAAAGGAAGATTTTTTTTTTGTTTGCTATGTTTTCAATATCAGTGTTTGATTAATACATCAAAATATCATTTACAAGTTAATATTTTGTTCAAAGATAAAATATTAATGGATGTATGGTATTTTGAGATTAACTTTAGGTGTCTAAAGAATTTTTTATTAAAAATATGTGTCTAACGTTTTCTCTATTACACTTTTAGATGTCTATGCGATATCGACCGTTAAAAAATCGTTAAGTGGCATGTGTCACGTATATATATATATATATATATATATATATATATATATATATATATATATATATATATATATATATTAAAAAATTATTTAAAAAATGAAAAAAAATCATATAAAAATCATTTTTTTTAAATTCCCCCGCGCAAATCCTTCTTGCTTGCGCAAAGTTCCCCCACCCCCGCATGTGAAAATCTCCCCCTCCGCAGTTCATGCGCGCAGAAACTCAAATATGCACTTAACTCAAATTTAAGAATATTGATGAAGTTCAACCTAGCCTCACTTGGATGGATGGTAAATCAAGGTTGTATCTTTGATTGTTTCGATCTAGGAAAGCAACAAGGATCCTGCACAAACAAGAAAGCTAAAAAAATAGTTAAATGGAAGTAATGAAATGGAAAGATAAATATGGCAGCGGAAAATATATATAAGTTGGTGATATGTTTAAAGGAAATGATGAAGTATGATAATGGAAGTAGAATGAAGGTGATGGAGATGAATATGAAAAGTAGTATCTTAAAGAAGACTCAAAGAAGAACCAATGTTAAAGAACAAAGACCCAGACTTTATATTGCTTATTTAAGGATGGTAAACAAGGACTGTGACCCACTATCTATAATGAGATAGGAACCAGATGTATCAGGGTGAAATAGATAGGGGTGACGCCACAAGCATAAGTTTGATAAGTCAATAAAGTTCACTTAAGAACTAAAGAGAGAAACTCTCACAAATATTTGATTAAACAAAGTCAATTGGTTCTTACAAATGAAATGGAAAGCTATTTATAGGCCTAAGAGATGTATAGGATGCACATACAAGATTTAATGATTGAACATTCATGGATGAATGTTCATCCTTAAGTAGATACAATGTACGTCCCCTATGCAAGTTCATGGACTAATAAAATAAATGAATGTTCATCCATTTAAGTGAATACATCTTCATAGCCGAATTCATCCTCTCTTGATGTGAACATGTTGGTTCATTTCCTTGCATGAATTTGGAGGAATGTTTCATTGTATATTCGAGGCCCCTTTGGAATGCATGCACCAAATGTGAACGTGACTCATAGGCTCCCTTCATGCACTTGGATTTGGTGAATGAGTTTGAAAATAATGCATCCATCTCCCTTAAATGTGAACAAGACCTTTAGCCTCATTGTATGATTGTACACGCCATAAATGGATTCATGAAGGTGGAATTGCATCAGGTGTGAACATGGCTCTTCATTTGGTTGTAAATCCCGTACTTATTTCCAGCCTGTACTGTCTTAATTAATCTGGGCATATATTGAGCTCCCTATATCATATTCATACGATTCAAAGTGCGTTGGAAAGCTAAGAGATAGGGGATTAAATATTAAGAAGACTTCATCACCCAAAGATGCAAGGAACATGTTCAGAAATGGAAATCTCTATGAGTGACGTGAATCTGTCCATTGGATTGCCTTGAATGTACATTGTACTAAAGACAAAATGTATGCAAGTTACAATGCTCAAGGTAATGAATAAGTAATAAGTAACATTATAATGTAACACGTGATGCCATAGATAATATAATAATGCAATTTATATGATAACATAAGTAAGGAATGTGTAATATATGCATGAAACAAGCTAATTAAAGATGTGACATGCATGAATATCTTATAGGATGCAAACATAAGACAATATATGAATATTCAAGCATAGTTTAGAATGTCAAAGCACGTATATAACACATATAAAGCATAAATGAGTAAATAAGTAATAAAATATGGAAGAACTCCCTTAGAATCATCTTGGAAGAACTTCAAAGTTGTGAGCATGTTTTGTTTGAACTTGATGATCAGTAGGATCACATCAAATATGCATAATTGGTGAGAATGAAGATGGTGCAAATGATAAATTTGATAGTATGGTCGGAGATTTCGGTATTAGGTTTAGGGATTTTTGGATTTAAAGGAATTGAGACAACGACAAGAGGGATGGTTGGCAATAGAGACCCAACGACGAATGAGTGGCCGTTCGACGATGAAGAAGGCTACCGATGATGGCCAATGACAACTGATAATGGAGCTAGAATAAGAGAATTTAGAGTTGCAGGAATTTTTTGTAATTTCAGAAAAATTAGATTCTTTTTTAAAGAAATAATAATAACATTAATTTTTTAGAAAAAAAATTCAAAAAATTATAAACATAACATGTCACTTAACAGTTTTTTTCACATAACACGGGAAAAACTTTAGGCATGCTTTTAACGAAAAAATATTTTGGCACCAAAAGTTAACTTAAGATATAATTTGAGCACTTATTTTTACATTAAGTCTTTCTTTCAAACATCTTTATCTTTTAAACATCACGTTCGAAAGTCTTAAGATGATCTTGGAGATATTAGCATCGTGTCCTGAAGATCTTAAGGGTGACCCGAGCTTATTTTAGTTAAATGATTATATTATTTTTTGTAGTTGAATCACACCTAAACTAACAGACGACAACTATGTATTTGGTGAAATCAGAACCGTTGTGACAAAAACAATATAAAAATAACGTGTCCGCAATTTTATTACTTTGTAAACAATATAACTAGGCATGAATTGTTCATTATTGGATTCATAAGGACTTTATGTGAAATACACAAATCAGTTTTTGTAAACAATATAACTAGGCTTGAGTTGTTATTTATTGTTGGATTCATAAGGACTTTAATGTGAAATACAGAAATTAGTTTTCGTAACACGAGATGTATTAATAGTAATTAATAATTTATTTGTAATAATCAGTTTCATAAAACGAGGGAATCTTCCTTAGCCCTTTGAAAACAAATTGTTTCATGGAGACCCCTTCGGCTTTTCTATAAAAGTAGTAGTTTGGATAACCCATGGAACATCAGAACCAAAACAAACAAACTAGAAACCTGTTTGAGAAAGAAAAAAAAAAAGACCAAACAGTTATGGCTTTCGACATGCTTGTAGCACTTCTCTTGATTGTCTCTTTTCTGTTTCTTGGCCATTGGTATAGAAACAGAAACTCCACTGTCGGGAATTGGCCTGTCGTAGGGATGTTGCCTGCACTGGCTTCCAATGCCGATCGAATGCTTGATTTCTTCACTGATATGCTTAAGTCCAACGGTGGCACTTTCAAGATCCAGGGACCCTGGTTTGCAAGCTCCGACTTCCTTCTCACTGCCCACCCCATGAACATCAACCACATTTTCTGCAAAAACCATGGAAACTACGAGAAAGGCCCGGAGCTCAGGCAAATCCTCGAGACCTATGAAGGAATAATCACTTCAGATTCAGATATGTGGAAGAGGCAAAAGAAGGCATTGCTTTCATTCTTCAAGTACAACAAGAAATCTGCAGCGTACATGGACCGAATTCTTCTGCAGGTGCTCCAGGGAAGTCTCATCCCGGTCCTCGAGCATTTTCAGACACTTGGAACTGAAGTAGACCTCGAAGATGTGCTTGGTCTGTTCAACTATGACTACATGTGCTTGTTGGGATTCGGGGTCAACCCCAAAACTCTATCCGCCGAATTGCCTGTTGTCGAAATCACAGAGGCATTGGGACACAGAGATGACGCTTTGGTTCATACGAAGACTGTGCCTCCAATGATATGGAAATTGCAGAAATGGCTTCAAATTGGAAAGGAAAAAAAGCTGAGGAGAGGGTTGGAGATGGTGGATGATTTTGCCCCACACACACATTTCATCAAGACGAGATGAGATAAGAAGATCCAAGGCCTTGGATGATGATCAATTCGACGCCTTGACAGCTTTCATGGTGGAAGAAGAAGGATCAGATATGAGTGAGATGGGAAAATAAGACAAGTTCCTAAGAGACCTTGTATACGATTTCTTAACAGAAAGGACTCTACAACTACTGGCCTCACATGTTTTCTGTGGCTCATTGCAACTCATCCGTGGGTTGAAACCAAGATTTTGGAAGAGATTAAAGCCAATTGTCCATAAAACAATGATGGGAAGATGGTGTATTTCACTGCGGAAGAGCTGAACAAGTTTGTTTACCTGCGTGCTGCATTCTGCGAGACACTGAGACTGTTTCCACCAGTACCAGTGGACTTCAGATCTTCGATCGGACCAGACGTTCTTCCGAGCGGGGATCACATCGGTCCCAACACAAGGGTATTGATCTCATTCTACTCAATGGGAAGAAGTGAAGAAATATGGGGTGAGGACTGCATGGAATTCAAACCAGAAAGGTGGATTTCAGAGATGGGAGAGTTCGTCCACAAACCTGGATCCTTGTATCTGCCATTTGGGGTTGGACAGAGAGCTTGTTTGGGCAAAGAATTGAGTCTGAAAATGATGAACACGGTGGCCATCAATGTTCTTAGGCATTTCGAGGTTAAGGTTGTGGAGAAGCAAAAGATTACAAAGACCAACAAAGTGCTTGCACTTACCACTCAACATGGTTTGAAGGTCAGAATCAAGAAAAGACTCCGAAATTAAGATAAACAGTAACCAATCTTCCAACGGAATTGGAATCCGAATCTGAAAGGTTCGTGGTTTCAATTATACGATTATGTTTCAATAAAAGCAAAGTAAACAGTTGTAATTTCCCCATTCATATGTCTTCGCAGTCGCTGTTATGTTTGTCTTTTCGAAAGCATATATTCTTCAAATTTTTAAATAAACTCTTAAATTCGAGAAAGTCTACATACTCTGACGGTTAAAGAAAAATAAGGCGAGTCCATCACTATTTAGCACGACCACAGATACTAGAGAATGACTAATTTTCGGTGGCGGTTAAAATTAGGTGAAAAAAATTATTAACTCTGACGAAGAAGATGAATTAAAAAATATTCTCACCATAATGATGTAATTGGGTCCGTCGAACAAACAAATGTACTTATGGGTTTGATTTTCTTCCTGTACCGAACAAAAGATTTTCTTTTAAACAAATATTTTTACAATTTAATTGTTGTATAAAATTCATTAAAGTAATATTTATTAATAAAAAATATAATTAGTCGATTTAATTTAACGAAAGGACTCATTAGAGTAATATTTGTTGAAATTTCGCATACCATTAATATATGTGTGTATCAATAGTTTGTTCAAATATCTTTATCAAAACTAAAATTATAAATAATCATTTGATTTAGTGGATGAGGTATAAGATTTTTGAGTAAGATCAAAAATTTAAATTTTAACATAATGAATGAAGAAAATTAGGTTAAAAACATCTCATAATAAATCTTTACAATATTCGATTTGAATTAATTAATAAAAAAATAATTAATCAATAAATTAAAAATTAATGGCAATACAAAAAATCAAAAATGAAATTAGTAATGTGATCGCATGTTATTTAAACCTGTGACTTTGACTATTGAATAAAAAATGAATTAGGTTGTCAGGTTGATTGGATTAATTAATTTCATACATATTTAAAAATTAGTGCAAAATCGATTCAACCTTTATTCATCACTCTTTTAGTTGTTTATACTTTTTATTATTTTATTTTAGGTTAAACTACAAGAATTATCATTTACTTTTTATATTTGTACACTTTTACTCACCAAATTAAAAAAAACTTAACTTTTGATCATTTACGTTCTCGTTTTATTAAATTTTGGTCACTGAGACGTTAAATGCTGTTAGTTAGATGATGTGGCATGTTAGTATCAGAGTTTAATTTTTGTTTTAACCCATGAACTTTAGATGAAATTTTAACTAAGGGTCTTTTGTAAACCTAAAATAGTTTAGGGATAAATTTTGAGTTTTCCCTTTTTTATTAATATGCTTTTCTTCTTGCCGAAGCCCTGGCTCTCCCTCCCCCCCAACTTGCACCGCACACCCCCGTCTTGCTTTTTTATACCTCAAGCTGGTCACCAACGTTGACGACGACGGATTGTTTTATTCGAAGTGTTACAAGGTTAGTTAAAAACTCTTGCCATTGATAATGTATGCTTACGATTTTTTCAATTATTCTCAACCATTCACCCGTGACTAAATTCAACCACCAGGCAGAGATGGATGGGTAGATATGAAGCTCATCTCTCGGACAACAGTTGCAAGAAGGAAGGGCAAACCAAGAATGGGGAGCAAGGTTTGTTTAGAGTCAAACCATAGACATTTATTGTAACCAATTGGATGTATTCGTTCTTTTGACTGCAATTGTTGGTCCATCTATCTTAATGACCTTACTCGTGTCATTAATTCCTCCTTGTCATGCTCGTACTTCTCGTTGAAGCTTTTTGAATCAACTCGTGCAATTTCGATTTATCTTGGTAAGCATTTTCTTGATCGTGGATGCTTATCGTCGCCGGTTTAAGGAGGGGGTGTGCGGCGCAAGGGGAAGCTATGGTTTCGGCTAGAAGAAAAGCACCTAAACTTATCGTGCTTGATCATTAACTTATTAATAAAGTAAGCACCTAATTGAAAGAAGCTAAACTATTAGGCTGAACTATTATCTAATTTAATAAACTAGGCACCTAATTAAAAGAGACTAAACTTATCAGGTTTAATTAGGACATTTAAGGCTCAAATACAAACATTAGGACTATCTGCAAGCCTTTGTACAATTAATAGATTTCTGTTAGTGTATAACAGGTAAATGCATTAAAGGTATTGCTAACTTTATACTAATAAACTATACATTCAAGTTACCGAACATGTGTATTCATATGACTTTCTAGTATTTGAACTTTGATTCATACAATGATTTCTATAAACAATTTTACTCTATTTATGCACTTATTTTATTTGATATGTATGTCTTTAAAGTATTGGACATTACCGATACAATATAGGTGGTTAAGTAACGCGATGCATATATATAATCATTAGTACTTGCTTATTTGAGTTTCAATAATAAATGTATTAAAATAACATTTCCAATACAATAAGTACAAAATATAAAAAAAGACACGAGTTGTTGGAAGCAATATAAAAGTAATGCGTCAACAATTGTATTAGTTTAGAAACAATATAATAAGGCATAGGTTGTTGGATTTGTAAGGACTTTAATGCGAAATTTGCATGTGATTTCTTAATAGTAATTAATAATCAATTTCATAAACCGAGGGAATCTTCCTTAGCCCTTAGAAAACAAATTGTTTCATGGAGACCCCTTCGCCTTTTCTATAAAAGGAGTAGTTTCGATAAGCCATGGAACATCAGAACCAAAACAAACAAACTAGAAACTTGTTTGAGAAAAACAGATCAAACAATTATGGCAGTCGACATTCTTGTAGCAGTTATCTCGACTGTTTCTTTTCTGTTTCTTGGTCATTGGTATAGAAACAGAAACTCCACTGTCAGGATTTGGCCTGTTGTAGGGATGTTGCCTGCACTGGCTTCCAATGCCGATCGAATGCTTGATTTCTTCACTGATATGCTTAAGTCCAACGGTGGCACTTTCAAGATCCACGGACCCTGGTTTGCAAGCTCCGACTTCCTTCTCACTGCCCATCCCATGAACATCAACCACGTTTTCTGCAAAAACCATGAAAACTACGTGAAAGGCCCTGAGCTGAAGCAAATCCTGGAGCCCTATGAAGGAATAATCACTTCAGATTCAGATGTGTGGAAGAGGCAAAAGAAGGTCTTTCTGTCATTCTTCAAGTACAACAAGAAATCTGCAGCGTACATGGACCGAATTCTCCAGCAAGTGCTCGAGGGAAGTCTCATCCCGGTCCTCGACCATTTTCAGACACTTGGAACTGAAGTAGACCTCCAAGATGTGCTTGGTCGGTTCAACTACGACTACATGTGCTTGTTGGGATCAGGGTTCAACCCCAAGACTCTATCTGCCGAATTGCCGGTTGTTGAAATCACAGAGGCATTGGGGCACATAGATGACGCTTTGGTTCATAGGAAGACTGTGCCTCCAATGATATGGAAATTGCAGAAATGGCTTCAAATTGGAAAGGAGAAAAAGCTGACTAGAGGGTTGAAGCTGGTGGATGATTTTGCCTACACATACATTTCATCAAGACGAGATGAGATGAGAAGATCCAAGGCCATGGCTGATGATCAGTTCGACGCCTTGACAGCTTTTATGGTGGAAGAAGAAGCGTCAGATATGAGTGATCTGGGAAAATCAGACAAGTTCCTAAGAGACGTTGTATACGATTTCTTAACGGTAGGAAAGGACTCTACAACTATTGGCCTCACATGTTTTCTCTGGCTCGTTGCAACGCATCCGTGGGTTGAAACCAAGATTTTGGAAGAGATTAAAGCCAATTGTTCAGAAAGCAATGATGGGAAGATGGTGTATTTCACTGCAGAAGAGTTGAACAAGTTTGCTTACCTGCGTGCTGCATTCTGCGAGACACTAAGACTGTATCCACCAGTACCAGTGGACTTCAGATCTTCGATCGAACCAGACGTTCTTCCCAGTGGGGATCGTATCGGTCCCAACACAAGGGTATTGATCTCATTGTACTCAATGGGAAGAAGTGAAGAAATATGGGGTGAGGATTGCATGGAATTCAAACCAGAAAGGTGGATTTCAGAGGTGGGAGAGTTTGTCCACAAACCAGCATCCTTGTATTTGCCATTTGGGGTTGGACAGAGGGCTTGTTTAGGCAAGGATTTGAGTCTGAAAATGATGAACACAGTGGCCATCAATGTTCTTCGGAATTTCGAGGTTAAGGTTGTGGAGAACCAAAAGGTTGCAATGAGCAACAAAGTCCTTGCACTTACCACTCAACATGGTTTGAAGGTTAGATTCAACAAAAGACTCTGAAGTTAAA